GGAATTGAATGGTGTCCGGAGCAGCATGCTGTTTCATTAGAAAATGTGTGTATCTGTGCCTTTCACCCCAAAGAGGACATAAGTGCAGCTAATGGTACCAAAAATTTGTTCATTATTGGCAGTGTAACCTAGTTTTATCCTGAGTTTGGTACTCAACCAATGAACAGTGCTTATTGTCTGGTCTTGAAGGGGCTGGATGTTTCGTGAAGGTCTTGGTTTAGTAAAGTTATTTCAAAGCAGGACAAATGCACATTAGCCCCTACTTATATCATTGTTTAACTGGTGCAGTGCATCCAAGGGCTTTGACTCTGGGAAGTCTTTTTTGAAGGGGTGGGCTGGACTGGGGCAGAAGAAAGCAGCAGCAAAAATTAAAGTGAATGCATTCACCTGTTCATGTGGGATGGGTGGGTGGTGAAATCAGTGGGGGCAGTGGTACAGCAGGTGATCACAGGGCTACATTTCCCCATCCACTTGAGGCTGGTGAGCCAAGCACTGTGTACCTGCTCGGTGACCCTGGCAGGGTGGCAGCACGGTGTCACTCACCTCCCTGATGGCACCCCCGGACTTTGGAGGACAGATTACTTCTGTGCTAGGCTGGGTTTTTGGGTTTTGTCTGCTCTCACTCCCCGTCAGCAAGGATTTGAAAGAAATAAGTGGTGCAGGTGTTTCTCTAAATTTTATGCTCTGATCTCTTTCTTTCATCCTGGAAACCTTAATTTTTGAACATTACTTCTGTTTAACCAAATTTGACCTGACAGTGTCCCTGTAATACCATATTATGCAAGGATCTCAGACATTAAAGATATTGGAGAAGTGATTAAAACCATTTTCTAAAAGCTACTGATGTGCCTTACATTTCAGAGCCAAACTCTTGCCTCTCCATTGACTAAATCAGTCTAGAAATCTCCAAAGCCTCTTCTGTGGCGGGGAAGTACAAGCATCAATCCTAATCCTCAGACTGGGAAGAAATAAGAAGACAAAACTCCCAAACAAAGGTTTCAGGACTTTCTGGCAGGAAAATTGGAAGGAAAATGACAATCTAAACTTGGCTTCAGGTCTTCTGTATATCAGAACATAAATTTGTTGTCAGAACGAACATATAGGTGTATTTTAGCCTCTTTTAGGGTTTGGCAGTAAAATGATACAGATTGCTGGCTGAGATATATGTACCTCTCTGTAGCGAGGGGAGAAATTTTAATTTGTTGTTGAATTATGTTGAAGTATGTTAAATTATGACAGTTTTGAAATGTCAGCCAGAGTTTTGTGAAAGGAGATATACATGTTACAGAGGTCTTTTACAAAGCTGGGAATCAAGAGCAAACAAACAGCTGTTCAGAAGTCTCCTTTGGTCATATTTACTTGCCCAGCCCTGAAGTCATCGATGACTGTAAAAAGCATGAAGGTTAAAACCCCTTTTCTTCATTATACAATTAGCTTAGAAACCTAAGTAAATCCTTAGATTAAGAAATTAATGTTATTGTTAAGGTGTAAATTCTACATACTAAATGAAGATTTCACCTTATATAAAATAAAGAATAATGCTAAATGTGTTGTGTCTCACAGTGTTTCAGTTTTGAAATTTGTGCTTAACAAGATGAAGTACAGTGATGCAGTCCTGTATTTTATTTTTTCCTATGACTAATTGGAATTTCAATCTGTATATTTTTAAGTAGTACCATCTGTTCAGGAACTTTATTAAAGAAAAAAATGGGAGACTTCGCAAATGATTATCATTTGAGATGAAAATAAATGGTAAAACTACAGGCTTCATCAGGATCATATACAGATGATATGCTAAGTACTGCTTTTTAAAATGTAAAAATTACAGGAAGCAAGGAGGTGAAAGAGTGCATCATAGGCAACACTGTTGAACTCTTTATGTAAATAAGCAGAGATTAATGTTGAAATACCTATATGGGAAGACACTATGTTTCTGTGCAGGGCAGGGTGAAAACTCCCAGTGTTGTATCAATTGCACTTTGAAATGTTGTTTTCAGTCCTGTTCACTGAGAATCCTCAAGTGGAGTTAACTGTTACGAGTGTTGTGCTATGGGAGTCTCTGTGCCAGTGAGTGAGGTGCATCCCCAGTGCTTTGAGATTCAGAGGTCAAATAAATTGCATAGTGATCTCCTTTGCCTGAAAAAAAATGGGAATTTTATCAGTGACCTCTGCAGTATCAAGGTTACATTCACGGCATGTGATCTGAAGCTTTAGGGATTTTTTCCATTGGCTTTGTTGGACCTTGAACCTGACCCATTGTGACTAGAGTGGCCTCATCAACTGTGGCATGTGTTGGTCAATGCCCTTACTGCCTCAGGTGATTTTGGAAAAAATTGAAAAAGGATACACAAAACACCCAGAATTTTAAGCATTTGTCTTCACCCCAAACTGTCCTCCAAAAAATAAAAAAAGAGGATTTTCTAAAACAAAGTATGTTTTTTAGGAGACAGCTTAGGTGTTTAAAAAGCTGATAGCAGAGAAGAAGTCTTTTCATCTCCCATTTTAGATGTTGTAACTTCAACTCACACAGTGTATTGCCATCGCTGAGGACTGTAAGTTATGTTTTGGTTTGAAATAACCACACCAAACAGCTGTTATGTACCAGATGACCTCTCCTTCCTTTAAAATTACTGATTGGTGTTTTATCTTGTGCCATTGTGGTGGTTTGAGCCCAGAGGGCAACTGAGCACCACCCAGCTGTTCACTCCCCTCTTCCCACTCAGGAATGGGAAAGAGAAAATGAAGCGAAAAGCTCAGGAATCAAGGTAAGGACAGGGAGGGATGACACAGCCATTATGGTCACAGGCAAAAGACAGACTCTTTAGGGGAAGAAGAAGAACATAAATTTAATTCAAACACTAACAACAACAGCACTTAACAGACAGAGTAGGACAGTGAGAAGCATTTCCACATCTTAAAAACACCTTCCCCCACCCCTACTTTCTTCCCAGGCTCAGCTTTGCTCCTGATATCTCTACCTCCTTGCCCTCAGGGGCCAAGGGGACAGAGATTGAGGCTTATGGTCAGTCATATGGTCAGAAATAGTAATGGATTTCAGAAAAATCAGAGTCCCAGGTTATTGTAATATTAGAAACATTTAGCTGTTTTGCTTGGTAGCTCAAACAAGTAGAATAAAGTTTAGGAAGCATGAAACAATAATGATTATTAAAGAGAATACTACCAGAAGGTTTCTGAGAGTAGTGTGTGCCTGCCCTCAGGTAATGAAATCTGCTTTACTGTTTCCAGGGCTATTGTCTGGATTTAATTTTTGAACTTTGTCTTCAGTAGGTCTCTTTCTGAGATAATTAATTTTCTTATATGCCCATGCTTTGTCCATCCCCAAGGATCTTCCACGTTGTTACTCCTTCATTCGAAGCTCAACCAGGCACAGTTCAGGTAGTTGCTCCCAGAAGAATACACAGGCACACCAATACCAGCAAACTGTTTTTTAATGATCTCTTTCATCTTTGTCAGTGGGGTCCTGTTTCAGAGTACATTAAAAGCAAAGGTAGGACTCCTAGTAGTCTTGGTGGAAGCTGGGTCCCCACCTGCAGACAAGTCAGTAGTTTGCTCAGGTAGCTTGTGGCCCTCCATAACTCTGTGGCTAGCTGGGAGATTATGTGGGGGCGGATAGGGATGTGAAGCTGAATTAAAAAAACCCTCAGAAGGGCCTGCTTTATTAAGGATCATAATTCCAGTCAGGAGATAAAAGAGAGGTATTCTCTTTTGTAAGAAATATTGCTGAACTCTATCCATAAAATTCTCCCAGAAGTACTCTTAATAAGTTAAATTACTGGCATTCTCATGAATTGAATTATTTCCTAAGTCATTGTACAAAAGACACATTTTACAAACAAGCATAGAGACAAGTACTTACCGTAAGTATTTTTATAGGGTAGACATTTTGCAGAGGAACAGTTGTTCTTAAACATGAAGAGTGAAGAAGGAGTTGATGTTTATTATTTGGTTACTGTTTGCCTTGTATGCCTATTCATAAACCAGGACCATACTGTGACCTGTCTTTGAGAGCTTGCTGTCTACATGTGAGGTAGACACAGAGAGATAGAGAGTGAGATGAATGTGAGAAACAATGCGACGATAATGGCTGGTATAATTGTATTTACTGTTTATGAGAAAATATTTGTCCACTGCATGTTTCATTGTCAGGGTAGTTCCATTCATGATGAAAAAAATCCTTTGCTTCCAGTATTTTCTAAATTCAGTCCCAGAGATTTCAAAGTTCATCATCCAAAAACTATCGTTCCTTTCTGAGAATTTGGTCATGATAAACCTGAAGAGAAAGAGGTTCAAAGACTCCCAGTGAGATTCTTTGAAAAAAAAAAAAATTAGTACCTCAGTGACTGCTCAGTTTACTTGGCTGCAACAGTCGTCACTGAGACAGTTTTCAGAGTGTCCCAGGAGACTAGTGGAAAAAGACCACCTGACATACACTTGTAAGTGCTAGGTGTAGTCTTTGGTCCCTGCTTTTGCATTTCATTGTACTCCTAGTTCAGCAAACTTACAACCAGGATGAATCTATTCTTAATTCTGTTAAGAATCATAAAAGAAGGAATCAACCATCTCTTTCAGGTAAAAAGAAAATCTTGCCTTTTTTGACATTTACAGCTTTGGTAAGTTTGCCATTTGCTAGTTTCTGACAGAAGGAAAGTGCAGTCCTGTAAGCAGTTCTGATTCACCCTTACCACTTCGTCTACTGCACATGTGTTTGATAGATCCTCTAAAATAATTTTCATGTTTGTTAATGAGGGGTGGGAACAAGTTTTAATATTGATCTTTCTATGGAGCTGTGTGAAGCTTCGCTGTGAAGGGCTAGGACTGTTCAGAGCTGTAGCTTCAGCTTATAGTGTTTGGTTTCATTTAACATTGTGATGGGAATCATTCTGTGTTATGTGTATACAGCCATGTAGACGTTATAGTGCAATTTTTGGCATAATGTTCTTAAGTTTAGGAATATGATTATGTTTGAAATGTCTTTTCAGTCCCCCAAATCTTGGATTGAAGAGGTCTTCAGTAAAAGAGAATGTGCACACATCATTCCCAGTTCAAAAGATCCTCACAGGTAAAACAGTGAATGTCACTTTATTTCTGTTACATTTAGAAATAATCTGAATAATTTTTATGGGTGTTGTGTGTAGCTTGGATGAAGTTCTTTGCAGTTTTGCAGTGCCGCAGTTGGTGATTGCTGCTTCTTATGGGTTTTAATACTGTCATCAGTATGTTTTAAGTGGGGCTGCTAGTTTGAACTGGAAACTGGCAACATTTGACTTTCCTAGTCTTCTTAGATGTGTTGCACTCAGTCCAATGTTGTATGGCATCCCATTGAGAGAATGAGTTAAGGAAAAGATCAAATCCTGTGTTTTAAGACCTGAAAAAGCAAACATAATTTGGCATTCCAGATTGTGTATCTAGTGGATGGTGTTGCCTAAATAAACTTCGTGAGATCCCATCCCGAGGATGTAAGTTTGTATTTTTGATCATACTCTTTTGAACACATAGTGTAGAGTAGATAAGATAGGCAACTCATCTATGATATGCAGATTTGACATACAGTGTGAGTTATAAAATGCCAGACAAATCACTGAAGTTACCCACTACATCTTCCAGGGGTGAGTGCAGAAGAACACAGCCTTTAATGGTGTTGAGAATTTTTTCATAGGTGAATTGACACTTTATGAGTACTATTACGGATGTTTTCTTTTATACAAGCATGTATTAATTATCCATCTGTTATCACAGGTGTCCTGCAGGATGCCAGGTGTGCCAGAATTTAATCAGGTAAGAGTGCATAAATGTGTATCTTTGATTTTTATAATGACCTAGAGTTAGTGATTCCTAGTCAAGGAAGTAATGACATCAAAAATATCCTTCCTCATACTGTCAGATCAGCATTTCTGGGATAGTGCTGGAGAATGTTTAGCATAAATCTGATTAAAAAAAATATATGATAATATTTAATTTATTTCTAACAGAAAATTTTATCGAAATACCTTGTGTGGATGAGTTTGTCTTAATCTTCTACTGAGGAATGAAAGGCATAAATATGCCTTTAAATGGGACACAATTCCAGCTATATCCTGCACGATATGGAGGAGAATGAGGCGAAGGCAACGGAAAACAGTAGGAACTATGGAAAGAGGAAGAACAAAATGAAGGGAGAAGAACATGGTGTAACTCGGTTGCCGGGGCAGGACCCGTGGCAGAGGGTTTCCTGAACTGGGGGGAAGCTCCAGGCAGCTGGCAGAGCCCCCACGGCAGCTGGCAGGATCTGGCCGGGGCAGTCGCAATGGCAGGCGAGCCCCCGCTTTGTACGAGAAGCCCTCAGGGAGCACGAGCGACGAGGGGCGCGTGGCATGGCGGTTTGCACGGGAAGGTGGGCGCTGGAGCTCAGCCGGCTCGACCAGGGAGTGGCGGTACCCACCCGATGGGAGGACGTGGCCTCTCTGAGCTCTGGACCTGCCACGGCAGAGCTGTGGCGGGAACACACTGCCACCCTGGTGCCGGGCTGCAGGACGGGCTGGCAGCAGAGAGCACCACTGTGGGGGGAGCGCCCGGGAAAAAGGGGCTGCTTGGGTCAGTGACAGAGCTCCGGGGGGCGGTGAGTCACTTGAGGCGTATTGGGGAGTGCAAGAGGAGACTGCTGGAATCGCACCCCACCTTCCCAGGGACAGGCCCAACAGGCAGACAGGACAGATGATATGGAGGATTCCCTGTCCTCGCTCTGCCTGGCTGGACACAGTGACTTAAGGGGCAGGGGGAAATGGCGACAAGTTCCTGCCCAGTGCAGCAGGCACATCTCCTCTGGGACTGCCCCACCTTTCATGTGCCTCTGCATAATAGGTTTGAGTCTCTGCAAGTGGAACCAAACAATAATGAGGACAATGGTTCATCTAGCTTGGAGGTGTCACCAAGGTTAAGTCGGCCTCTGCCATGTGTGAAAACTGCTTCCTTAAAGAAGAAAATATGGGTCATTGTCATCGGAGAGTCTTCCCTACTTATGGGAACAGAAGGCCCAATATGCAGACTGGACCCACTTCTTGGGGAAGTCTACTGCCTCCCTGGGGTCTGGGTTAAACACAGGAAGATAAAGCTTCCTACCCTGCTGTGGCCCTCAAATTGTTATCCATTATTGATTTTTCAGGCAGGCAGCAATTAATTTGCATAAAGAAGTCCAAGGGTAATTGAGAGGCCTTGGGATGACAGGTTAAGGGATAGGGAGCACTAGCAGTGTTGTCCTCTATCCTTCCAGTTGCAGGGAATGATGAGGAAGGAAATGGAAAGAGCCAGCAGATCAATACCTGGCTCTGAGAGTGGTGTCACTAGCAGAATTTTGGGGTTTTTGATCCTGTTTTCATGACACCGGTCTTGCTGGCAACAGATGGGGTACACCTGTCTCAAAGTGGGAAAAGGATCTTCGCACAGGAGTTAGCAGGGCTCATTGAAAAGGCTCTAAACTATATTTGAAGGGGACAATGGATCAAACCAGGCTCGCTAGAGACAAGCATGGGGGCAGCATGCCCATGTTTGAGAGATGGAGTGATAGTGGGATCCTTTGGTCTGCCATCTCATTGGAGGTAGGGGATGGAGATCTGTGTGGCAGCTTATTGCAAGGCTTATTGATGTGTTAGAAGCCATGGAAGTGCCTGAGAATGGTCACATAGGAATTAGGGCTTCTACCCCCCAAAAAAGGTGGTGAATCATTAGACCAACTGAAGTGCATCTACACCAATGCACACAGCATGGGCGACAAAGAGGAAGAGTTGGAAGCCATAGTTTAGCAGGAAAACTGTGATAACAGTTGCTGTCGCAGAAACATGGTGGGGTGACTCACACAACTGGAGTGCTATAATGGGTAGCTATAAACTGTTCAGAAGGTATAGGCAAGGAAGGAGAGGCAGTGGGGTAACCTTTTATGTTATGGAGTGTTTTGATTGTCTAGAACTTAATGATGGTTTTAATAGGGTTGAGTGTTTATGGGTAAGAATCAGGGGAAATGCTGACAAGGCAGAGATCATGGTGGAGGACTGCTGTAGGCCACCCAACCAGGATGAAGAGGCAGAAGAAATATTTTATAAACAGGTGGGAGAAGTCTCACGATCGCTAGTCCTTGTTCTCATGGGGGACTTCAACTTACCAGATGTCTGCTGGAAATACAATTAAGGAAAGAGGAAACAGTCTAGGAGGTTCCTGGAGGGTGTGGAATATAACTTCCACACAGCTGGTGAATGAGACAACTAGGGAAGGCACGCTGCTGGACCTGCTGTTTGTGAACAGAGAAGAATTTGTGGGTGGTGTGAAGGCTGAAGACTGTCTTGGGCATAGCAGTCACAAAATTACAGTTTTTGATTCTTGGAGAAATAAGGAGGGGGGCCAGCAGAACTGACATGTTGGACTTCTGGAAGGCAGACTTTGGCCTGTTTAGGGGCCTGGTTGATAGAGTCCTTTGGGAGGCAGTCCTGAAGGGCAGAGGAGTCCAGGAAGGCTGGACATTCCTCAAGAAGGAAACCTTAAAAGCACATGAATAGGCTGTCCATATGTACTGGAAGATGAGCTGGCAGGGAAGACCATTGGCATGGCTGAAGAGAGAACTTTGGCTGGAAATCAGGAAAAAAAAGAGAGTTTACGACCTTTGGAACAAGAGGCAGGCCATTCAGGAGGACTACAAGGTTGTTGTGAGGTTATGTTATGAGTCCCAGTTGACTGGAAGCTAGCAAATGTGATGCCTATCTGCAAGAATGGCTGGAAGGAGGATCTGGAGAATTACAGGACTGTCAGCTTGACCTCAGTGCTGGGGAAGGTTATGGAGCAGATGATCTTGAGTGCCATCATGCAGCATGTACAGGACAACCAGGTGATCAGGCCCAGTCACCATAGGTTTATGAAAGGTAGGTCCTGCTTGACTAACCTGATCTTCTGTGTCAAGATGACCTGCTTAGTGGGTGAGGGAAAGGCTGTGGATGTTTTCTACCTAGACTTTAGTAAAACCTTTGACACTCTTTCCTACACCATTCTTCTGGAGAAATGGACTCCTAAGGGCTTGGCTGGGTGTACCCTTCATTGGATAAAAACCTGGCTGGATGGTGGGGCCCGAAGAGTTGTGGTGAATGGAGTTAAATCCAGTTGGAAGCCAGTCATGACTGGTGTTCCGAAGGGCTTGGTATTGGGGCCAGTTCTGTTTCATATCTTTATCAATGATCTGGATGAGGGGATTAAGTGCACCCTCAGTAAATTTGCAGATGACACCAAGTTGGGTGGGAATGTTGATATGCTTGAGAATAGAATGGCTCTACAGAGGGATCTGGACAGGCTGGATTGATGGGCTGTCGTCAATTGTATGAGGTTCAACAAGGCTAAGTGCCGGGTCCTGCACTTGTGTCAGAACCCCACGCAACGCTCTAGGCTTGGGGAGGAGTGGTTGGAGAGCTGCCTGGTGGGAAAGGACCTGGTGGTGTTGGTTGACAGCTGGCTGAGTATGAGCCAGCAGTGTGCCCAGGTGGCCAAGAAGGCCAATAGCACCCTGGCTTGTAACAGAAGTAGTGCAGCCAGCAGGACTAGGGAAGTGATTGTCGCCCTGTACTTGGCACTGGTGGGGCTGCATCTTCAATACTGGGTTCCATTTTGGGCCCTGCACTACAAGAAAGACAATGAGGTGATGGAGTGTGTCCAAAGAAAGGCAGTGAAGCTGGTGAAGGATCTACAGCACAAGTCCTGTGAGGAGCAATTGAGGGAATGGGGGGTTGTTTAGCATGGGGAAAAGGAGGCTCAGGGGAGACCTTATAGTTCTCTACAACTTCCTGAAAGAAGGTTGTAGCAAGGTGAGTGTTGGTCTTGTCTCCCAAATACCAAGCAATAGGACAAGAGGAAACAAGTTGTGCCACAGGAGGTTTAGATGGGATATTAGGAAGAATTTCTTCACTTAAAGGGTTGTCACGCGTTGGAACCGACTGCACAGGGGAGTGGTTGAGCCACTGTCCCTGAATGTATTTAAAAGACCTGTAGGTATGTTGCTTAGGGATATGGTTTAGTGGTAAACTTGGCAGTGCTACATTTACAGTTGGACTCGATGATCTTAAGGGTCTTTTCCAACCTAAGTGATTCTGTGATTCTGTCATTCTATGAAAGAAGGTAATATAAATATCCCTGATGATAGGTTTTCTGAAGATTTTTTTCATCTCTGCAGTGGGCATTCTGAGTCCCTGCCTTTGCAGAGGCAAGCAACAAAAATTACATTACTCTGGTACTTTTTGACTTGTGTGTGGTGCTTTTGACTTTTTCAGACAGCTAATATTTTGTGGTTTGTATTAATTGTTTTCCATCCAACATTTGTCATTCAGCTTGTATTCCCAAACAGGTTTCGATACTGTAATGTATTATTGGTTGTTGGAACAAAAATTGTAACTTTCCTTGACATTTGTTTTGTGTTAAAGGCCTCTGAAGGCTGAAGCAATGGAAAACAATGAGTTTCTGATAACTAATGACTAGCAAACTGGTGCTAACTAGTCCTGTCACTTTCATGAGCATGATTATTTGCTTTTAATTAAATTTCATATTTGTTTTTGCTTCTAAGATTTATGTGAAACAAGAGTCACATTTTCCAAAAACTAAGTAAGTTACTCCTTGAAATCACATCACTGTAAAGGACTGATATACAGAATGGTATTGGCATTGTAAATAAGGCAAATGATCTGTGTTACATCTGTTCAGAAAGGGTCAACTCCCTCTGAGGGAATGGTCATGTGTGTATTTTGCTTTAGAGCAGAAGAATAGAAGTTCAAAGG